TTGAGTAGTCATGAACAGTGATTATGGTGGGCGCCAAAACACCCCCTGGCGACCCTCCCGCTGGACCCCAGCGCATCAGGGGTCCGTCCAACATGTCCTCTGGAGGACCAAAGCTGAAAAGCAGCCATCCATGCCGAAACTCGGCTGTGGACGGGCTGCCAAGCACGACGCGCGCCGCGGCTCAAACCTGGTCAACGACCCGAGAAACGCGCATTGGGGACACCCGCGACCGCTTCGAGACCCTCTCAGACACCCCTCGAGTGCCCCAGTCGCGTGGATCGTCCTCTGGGCCCGGCGCTGACCGCCACGACCACTCGGAACGCTCGACGCGCACCGCTGGGGCTGCCACGCGCGCGCGCGTGATGATGGACATGATCAATCAGCGGCACGCGGGGAATCCCGTCGTGACACCATTCCTTCGCGATTCCCCGCGCGCCGCTGATTAATCGATGCCCTAGGACCGACATATCGCCCCTCGACGCGTCGAAATGGCCCGGATCCAGAGGCCCCGTTCGCCCCGAAATCGTGCTCGCCTCTGTAGATCGAGAGCGGCGCGTCGAAGATCGCCCGCCGGCGCGGCGCGGGCTCGAAGGCCGCCGGGGCGCCCGGCGGACCGAGCCGCCGAACGCGGCCAAAGTCGGGCGCTGCCCATCGGATCGGCTTCCCAGTGCGCTGGAGCAGCTAGAGATCTTTACGCCAGTGGCGCCGCCGCGTCCGCGGCGCCCGCGGCGGTGTCGTCGTCGGGCGGCGGGTCCTGGCGGAAGGAGTCCTGGAGGACGACGTCGAGGTCCTCGAGGGAGTCGCGGCTCTTCGTCTTCTCGCTGTTGACCTCGTCGAGGCGCGCGAGGTCCGTGGGCTGCGACGCGCGCGGCCGCACGCCCAGGATGGGCGGAAACGCGTCGCGGAGCGCGCGGACGGGCAGGGGCGCCGCCGGCGGCGCCGCGCGCTGGAGGTCCAGGCCCAGGGACAGCGGCGCGTCGCCGCTGAGCGACTTGTCGAGGTCGAGGCCCGGGCCCGGCGACGACGCGCGGCTCGACGGCGCGGAGGGCGCGGCCGTCGGCACGGCCAAAGCCGTCGCCGCGGCGAAGTGGGCGTGGTCGCCCCAGGGCGTGCCGCCGCGGCTCAGGTCCATGTCCAGCGCCGCGTACGCGGACACGTCCAAGCTCGCGGACACGGACCGGTTCTCGCGGACGCCGAGCGCGGCCGCGACGCCCGCGGCCAGGTCGCGCCAGGACCGCCGCGAGTCGTCCAGACCCTTCTCGTCGCTCGCCGTCCGCGACCGGGCCGGGCGGTTCAGCCAGCCGCCCGACCCGCGCTGCGACGCGTCGAGCGCGCGGTTCAGCCAGCCGCCCGAGCCCCGCTGGGACGCGTCCAGGCTCGCGAGGAACTGGTCCGTCGTCGCGACGCGCTCCAGGTCGTCCCTGGGCCGGCCGCCGTCGACGGGCGCCGCGGGCGACGCCGGCGCGGGCGTCGTCGCGACCCGCGTGCCCGCCTGGCTGCGCCAGATGTCGAAGCTGAGGAGGCAGAGCCAGCCGCTCGCGCGGCTCGTCTTCGCGGCGAGCGCGTGGAACGCGGCGTAGAACGCGACGAGCCGCTCCAGCGACGCGACGCGGCCCTCGTAGAGCGTCTCCACGACGGCGTGCGCCGCCAGCAGCGCCCGCGGGTCCTCGTCGCCCGCCGCGCGCGCCGCGCCGACGACGCCGGGGCCGACGGCGCCGAACCGCGCCTCCGGCGCCTCCAGGAAG